ATGGTCCAGAGTGAGAGTGGTATGAGTGTGATACAGACAGCTCGAAGGACTTTTTGGCCCGAGAGTGGGAGTGGTATGGGGTATCCAGAACTCGAAGACTTTGTGTCTGAGAGTGGAGGGGTATGAGGTGAGTTGTGAGCAATAGGTCTATGATGGGAGTCTAAAGCATAGTGATTTAACAATGATAGTGTTACTTTTTGACCTTGTGATCAGATTGTGTTGGCCGGATGGGTCAAGGGACGAGTAAGTCGTTGCGACGATGATAGTTGGAATTATTACAGAATAGACAATGTCCTAAGATTCGAGGACGAATCTCTGTAAGTGGGGGAGAATTATAACACCCGTGTTCCAAAAAGAATGAAATAGTTGTGTTTATATCGGAAATTGGAGTGGTATCGGTTCAATTCTAAATGGTTTACTAAGGTAGTGGAGTGATTGATTAAACCAAAGAGGGATTTAATTAATTTATGGTTAAATTTAATTAAACCAAAAGCCCTAATATTTTTTCATAGGTTCACACCTAATCTCATCCTCCTCCTCTTTTTGATTGTCGTTGCCTGCACTTAGAGAAAAGAGAGAGAGGATTTTGGCGTGAGGAAGAGAGGGAAAGAGGGAGAGAGGCAGGCTGAAACTTTGGTGAAAGGAGAGAGAGCCAGACCAGACACGTTTAGGTAGAAGAGAGTTTCGACATATCAATTCGTTTCCAAAAGTAACGAAATTTACTAGGATTGTAGGTAAGACTTATATCTAGTTATATATTCGAGTCAATATTCTAAGAGTTATCCCTATTTTTGTGAGCTCTTCTGTTTTAGACGCGATTTGGACCAGTGTGTGTTAAAAGAGAGATTGCGAGCGAACCCTTGGTCTGATCGTCATGATATTTTGTTGGTAGCTTCAGGACAAGTAGAGAAAGCTTTTCAACGGTGGGATTTAAAAGTGGACGGTTATATCTTTCAGGCTGACAATTCTGTGATTTTTCCAGAATTTAACAGTTGGTTTTTATTAATGTTTTGATTGTTGTGGTTCGCTATTAGGGTGATTTTGAGATACTGTTGACGTGAGAAAGAAGTCAACTGTGGTTGTGTGGTGTTGTTCTTGTTCAAAAATCATCCCTAAGCTGAGGTGAGTGCGTGACCATGAGCTTATCTAAGCGATTGGGATTATGTGATTGTTGTTATGATGTGTAGGTGGGATTTTTGATGGATCAAGAATTTAAATCCATGTGATGGTTGTGTTATGAGATGATTGTCATTGGCTTGGTTTGTTTTCATGAATTATATGTTGATATGTGGTCTTAGTTGCTTATGTGTATAGCTCGTAGATGAGAGGATCGCCTCACTAAGTATTTATTTAAATACTTATGCATCGCTTTTCTTGGTGCAGGTAAAGATAAAGAGTGATCGTGGAATCATGACGAGGAGAGGAGGATGATCTAGGGTGTCGTTGGTGTTAGTTTATTATTTTTAGTATGATGGATTTTTGGATGATAAGTTGTTAGAATTGTTAGATAATTTGTTGGTTTATGTTGGTTAAGTTATAATAAGTTGAATTTGGATTTTTGTTTTGAATTGTGTTGGTTTTGGAATGATTTTTAATTAGGGAAAATTTATTAATATTTACGGGGATATTAGTTAATTAATTTAAAAAAAAAACGGGTCGGGTTGGTTCAGTTGGTATCTGAGCCGAACCCAGACGTGTGTGGAGTCAAAATGGGCTCACACCGTTGGGGGTGACGGTCTTGGTACGCAACGAGGACGTTGCGATCTGTTAATAGGGGTAAATTGTAATCCCCCAGTTTCAAGAATATGGTGGTGCATGCAGAGAGGTTTAAAAGAATTGATTTGGCCACCTATGTCACCAAAGTGCACTTATCTTTTCGGTCAACCATCCTGAGAGAGCTCTACAGTTAAGCGTGCTTGGGCTGGAGTAGTTTCAGGATGGTTGACCTTCCGGAAACTGATTGTCGGAACTATGTGAGTGAGGACAAAACAAAGGAAAAGATCATGTGGTGATATGTAGGCTCGGCAAACAAGTCATTAAAGGCTCCCAGACGTAACAGACCGACCGTCAGACATGGGTGGGCCCACGGGCCGAAAGAGGACGTGGGGCCCATTAAAAGAGGTGGCGGTCGGGGCGTTACGACCCAGAGTGTGAGTGGTATGAGTATGATACCCAGAGCTCGTAAGATTATACGATCCTGAGTGTGAGTGATATGAGTATGATACCCAGAGCTCGTAAGGTCGTATGGTCCTGAGTGAGAGTGGTATGAGTGTGATACAGACAGCTCGAAGGACTTTTTGGCCCGAGAGTGGGAGTGGTATGGGGTATCCAGAACTCGAAGACTTTGTGTCTGAGAGTGGAGGGGTATGAGGTGAGTTGTGAGCAATAGGTCTATGATGGGAGTCTAAAGCATAGTGATTTAACAATGATAGTGTTACTTTTTGACCTTGTGATCAGATTGTGTTGGCCGGATGGGTCAAGGGACGAGTAAGTCGTTGCGACGATGATAGTTGGAATTATTACAGAATAGACAATGTCCTAAGATTCGAGGACGAATCTCTGTAAGTGGGGGAGAATTATAACACCCGTGTTCCAAAAAGAATGAAATAGTTGTGTTTATATCGGAAATTGGAGTGGTATCGGTTCAATTCTAAATGGTTTACTAAGGTAGTGGAGTGATTGATTAAACCAAAGAGGGATTTAATTAATTTATGGTTAAATTTAATTAAACCAAAAGCCCTAATATTTTTTCATAGGTTCATACCTAATCTCATCCTCCTCCTCTTTTTGACTGTCGTTGCCTGCACTTAGAGAAAAGAGAGAGAGGATTTTGGCGTGAGGAAGAGAGGGAAAGAGGGAGAGAGGCAGGCTGAAACTTTGGTGAAAGGAGAGAGAGCCAGACCAGACACGTTTAGGTAGAAGAGAGTTTCGACATATCAATTCGTTTCCAAAAGTAACGAAATTTTCTAGGATTGTAGGTAAGACTTATATCTAGTTATATATTCGAGTCAAAATTCTAAGAGTTATCCCTATTTTTGTGAGCTCTTCTGTTTTAGACGCGATTTGGACTAGTGTGTGTTAAAAGAGAGATTGCGAGCGAACCCTTGGTCTGATCGTCATGATATTTTGTTGGTAGCTTCAGGACAAGTAGAGAAAGCTTTTTAACGGTGGGATTTGAAAGTGGACAGTTATATCTTTCAGGCTGACAATTCTGTGATTTTTTCCAGAATTTAACAGTTGGTTTTTATTAATGTTTTGATTGTTGTGGTTCGCTATTAGGGTGATTTTGAGATACTGTTGACGTGAGAAAGAAGTCAACTGTGGTTGTGTGGTGTTGTTCTTGTTCAAAAATCATCCCTAAGCTGAGGTGAGTGCGTGACCATGAGCTTATCTAAGCGATTGGGATTATGTGATTGTTGTTATGATGTGTAGGTGGGATTTTTGATGGATCAAGAATTTAAATCCATGTGATGGTTGTGTTATGAGATGATTGTCATTGGCTTGGTTTGTTTTCATGAATTATATGTTGATATGTGGTCTTAGTTGCTTATGTGTATAGCTCGTAGATGAGAGGATCGCCTCACTAAGTATTTATTTAAATACCTATGCATCGCTTTTCTTGGTGCATGTAAAGATAAAGTGTGATCGTGGAATCATGACGAGGAGAGGAGGATGATCTAGGGTGTCATTGGTGTTAGTTTATTATTTTTAGTATGATGGATTTTTGGATGATAAGTTGTTAGAATTGTTAGATAATTTGTTGGTTTATGTTGGTTAAGTTATAATAAGTTGAATTTGGATTTTTGTTTTGAATTGTGTTGGTTTTGGAATGATTTTTAATTAGGGAAAATTTATTAATATTTACGGGGATATTAGTTAATTAATTTAAAAAAAAAACGGGTCGGGTTGGTTCAGTTGGTATCTGAGCCGAACCCAGACGTGTGTGGAGTCAAAATGGGCTCACACCGTTGGGGGTGACGGTCTTGGTACGCAACGAGGACGTTGCGATCTGTTAATAGGGGTAAATTGTAATCCCCCAGTTTCAAGAATATGGTGGTGCATGCAGAGAGGTTTAAAAGAATTGATTTGGCCACCTATGTCACCAAAGTGCACTTATCTTTTCGGTCAACCATCCTGAGAGAGCTCTACAGTTAAGCGTGCTTGGGCTGGAGTAGTTTCAGGATGGTTGACCTTCCGGAAACTGATTGTCGGAACTATGTGAGTGAGGACAAAACAAAGGAAAAGATCATGTGGTGATATGTAGGCTCGGCAAACAAGTCATTAAAGGCTCCCAGACGTAACAGACCGACCGTCAGACATGGGTGGGCCCACGAGCCGAAAGAGGACGTGGGGCCCATTAAAAGAGGTGGCGGTCGGGGCGTTACGACCCAGAGTGTGAGTGGTATGAGTATGATACCCAGAGCTCGTAAGATTATACGATCCTGAGTGTGAGTGATATGAGTATGATACCCAGAGCTCGTAAGGTCGTATGGTCCTGAGTGAGAGTGGTATGAGTGTGATACCGATAGCTCGAAGGACTTTGTAGCCTGAGAATGGGAGTGGTATGGGGTACCCAGAACTCGAAGACTTTGCGTCTGAGAGTCACTACAAGAAAACAGCTGATTTACGACTGCAATATTAGTCGTAATGTAGTCGTTAAAAGACAAGTTACGACTAAGTTACGACTATAAGCGGTAGTCGTAAATCGAGAGTCGCTAAATGTTATAGTCGTAATTTCAGTCGTTATTTACCGACTACGTTACGACTATAGGGTGCAGTCGTAACAGTAGTCGTAACATAGTCGTTAAATTTAACGACTATGTTACGACTATGTTACGACTAATCTGCATATATTGTAGTGTAGTCGTAAAGATTATAGTGACTATTTTCCAACTGATTTACGACTGTTTGGCGACTGTATTTAGAAGAAAAATGGCATGTTCGATTTTCTATTTTGCATTGACCTAAAATGCTAAATTGAAATACTAAATTGAAAAGTAAATAAGCTAAAAACATAGATTCACTTCATTTAAAAGAAACAAAGTTGAGTCATACCAAACAAAAACAAGTCTTTAAAACAACTGAGAGAAGAACTTAGTTTATGTACTTGGGGAAAGATTTAAAAGGAACCTAAACAAGAAGCTGATAGATAGGAGTTCAAGAAGTTGGGGGAAGACCGGTTGAGAGAGGCTCTGTGGTTTCTGCAGCCGAATGAGTCTTCATGAAGTCCAAAAAGGCTGGATCAGTTTGTCGGAGGTACTTCTCCACCAAGGACAAGTGCTCGAGCTTCTCCTTTTGCTCTTTTTCACGCCTTGTATTTTCAGCAGCCTGCTCTTCGATTTTTTTTTGAGCTTCCTTCAGTTGCTCTTGGATTGCCACAAAAGATGCAGAGTCTCCGGGTTGCTTGCGCTTGCCATTTTTAAGAATTCCCTTGAGGCTGCCAACTCCATAGAGAGTTCCTCTTGAATCCTTCTCAGTGGACTGTGAATGACAAGAGAAAAAGAATGTAGATTAGAACTCTATAAAAGTCAAAAAACAATATATGTGGATTGTGATAAATTGTACTTAACGTGAAGAAATATGGCTGTATATTCATCTGTTGTTAGCTCTCGAGGTCGTGAAGCGCCGTCCGAATCATATACCTCCAGCTCAGACAACTTCTGTTGCACATTCTTCTCATAAACCTTAGCTATTTTCTCTGCCTTCCGATCCACAAAAGAACCATCAGCCCTTGTATGAGTCTTAATGAAGACCTCACCAAGACTCACTGGTCTTCCCAATAGTTCTTCCTGCGATGTTTCAAAATATGTAATGATTAGCACAAAATCATAGAACAAAAGAGTGATAGAAAAAGACAGATATACTAACCAATTCGTATTGGATTTGCTGATATGACTTTGGCCCTGACAAGTGGATGTGAGGACCGAGACCATTACGGTCAGACATACGAGCCTTTGAATAAATCTGACTCCTCTTCTGTGCTTCTTCAGTATCCCAATACGCAACCATTATTTTCCAGGTATCTTCATAGATCCAGTCGGGTTTTTCACGACTCGTCCTTGCGTTGCTTACCATGTCCTTCATCCGGCGTCCACAGATTTCCTCGAACCACCATTGAACTGTCCCTGTTATCAAGGGATCCCAGGTGTGGGTTTTCTACAACACAAAGACATCAAGACCAGAGTTAGTGGAAGAACAAAAATGCAACCAGATTTGAAGGCTATAGGACATAAGACTTTACCGCAAACTCGAGGAAGTATCTTTCTTGTCTCGCACGAGGCACACAAGTCCAACTATAATAAGGACCATCAAATTTGTTAGTAAAGATTTTAGTAATCTTCCTAACAAGTCTTGATTTTTCATCGCGCTCAAACCTGCAGCATTTGTAAACAAGTGAAGAAGTTAATAGTATCAAACAAATCAAAACAAGTAAACAAGTAAAAACAAATATCAAACAAGTCAAAACAATTCATAACAAGTATCAAACAAGTCATTACTAGTATGAAACAAGTAGATTGAACCTGCAGCATTTGTAAACAAGTGAAGAAGTTAATAGTATCAAACAAATCAAAACAAGCAAAGAAGTCAAAACAAATATCAAACAAGTCAAACAATTCATAACAAGTATCAAACAAGTCATTACTAGTATGAAACAAGTAAAATCAACTATCAAACAAGTATCAAATCAAGTATCAACCTAAGATTATAAATCTAACTCAGACTCAGCAATTACTACAAGAGTTTAAAAATAAAGAGACCAGATGCATGTGTCAAACGAGAGACCAACTACTAACCATCAAAGACAAGAATCATGTGTGAATACACTAACACATCAAAACTATCAACCTAAAACATCAAACTAAGATACCTAAGAGACATCAAACATATCTTATAACACTCACACTCACACATCAATGGATCAAGAGACATATACCAAGTTGTGTTTGGCAGCGGTGTTGGAGAGAGGACGGTGGTAAACTTCTCGCGGTTTGGCACCAGAAGCAAGGCATTTAGATCCCTCATTGTGTCCTCCTGTAGCTCCGGCAACATTGGTTCTAAAGTATCCTGGAAATTATTCCCTTGAGATGATGGATGAGACTGAGCCTGAGAGTGATGAAGTGGAGATCCTGGAGGATCCACTTGTTCAGGAGGTTGCTGTCTAGGATCCCGAGAAGGTTGTTGTCGAGGTTCCTGTTGTCGAGAAGGTTGCTGTCTAGGATCCCGAGAAGGTTGTTGTCGAGAAGGTTGCTGTCGAGGCTGTGCCTGCTGTCGAGGTTGTTCCTGCTGGACTTCTTGTTCAGACAACCCATGGTCTTCACGTGGTTGATTCACCGAGCTCTGGAAAAGCCTTTGTGGCGGTGGATAGTCCCGGAAATGAGAAGCTCTTGACGTAGACAGTTGAGGGGAAACGCGGACTGGCTGGACTTGCTCAAGGGGCGACTCAGGCTGAGGAATCTGCTCCTCTGGCGCCGGCGTGAACTCGTATTGAGGAGGTAAAGGGTTTTTTCTTTTCGATGTGTTGGGTTTGGAACCGACTGGCCTCTGAGACACATTTGGAATGGATAATCTCTTGCGGCCTCGACGTTTGTTGTTAGCTAGAGGCATGGCTAGATCGATTTGAGAATGAGCAAGAGATTTGAGGAAGAGATTGACGAAGAGATTCGATTTGTAGAACGAAATCAGGGTTTCGATGAGGGATTTGATTAGAGATTCGATTTGAGACTAAGGAAGAGATTGAGGAAGAGATTGAGGAAGGAGAAGAGAGTGAGAATGAAATTAGGGTTTCTGATTCCCTTTGTGCGTTTTCTTCAGAGGGAAAACGAGTGGGCATGCCGAATTGGGCTTAAAATTTGGGTTTGGTTTCGCGGTTTTTATTAAACCCAAAATTTTCACTATAGTCGCTAATTTGTCGCCAAATAGTCGCTATTTTAATTTTAATTTTAATTTTAATTTTTAAGAGTATAAAGTTTAATTTTTATAGTTTATAATAATTGTATTGATGGTTTAGAAACTTTAATTTATAAGTAAATGGTTTTTATTTGTAAAAATATATAATGGTTAATTATTAGTTTTTATGCTTTCTTAATTAATTCTAAGATACAGAATAAAAAATTTCATATTTGTAGTTTATGTGATTTAACTTTTGGAGGTATATATATAGATAATGTTATATATTATAAGTTTTAATTATAGGGATATTAAGTTTTAAAAAATTATAACTAGTGTTTGATTTAGTTATTGGGGTTTATTTAAGGGTTAGGGTCTATATTTAGGGTTAGGATATAAGTTTCAAAATCTTAATTTGGTATCTATGTATATAGATTTAGGTTACTTAAATAGCTACTGATTTCCGACTAAAAGGCGATTGAGATAGCGACTCGGTTATATAGTCGCTAAATGGCGACTCATGAACGACTAATCACAAATAGTCGTATAATAGTCGCCAAATAGTGGCTATACAGTCACAAAATTAAGCGACTACTTCTATAGTCGTTATGCATAGTCGGCAATCAGCTGTTTTCTTGTAGTGAGTGGAGGGGTATGAGGTGAGTTGTGAGCAATAAATCTATGATGGGAGTCTAAAGCATAGTGATTTAATGGAAACCTCGGAGGTCGTTAGTTTTTGACCTTGTGATCGGATTATGTTGACCGACAAGTAATTCGTTGCGACGGTGATAGTTAGAATTATTACAGAATAGACACTGACCTAAGATTCGAGGACGCAAAGTGGTGGAATCGGTGTTCTAAAAAGAATGAAATAGTTGTGTTTATATCGGAAATTGGAGTGGAATCGGTTCAATCCTAAATGGTTTACTATGGTAGTGGAGTGATTGATTAAACCAAAGAGGGATTTAATTAATTTATGGTTAAATTTTATTAAACCAAAAGCCGTAATATTTTCTCATAGGTTCACGCCTAATCTCATTCTCCTCCTCTTTTTGATTGTCGTTGCCTGCACTTAGAGAAAAGAGAGAGAGGAGTTTGGCGTGAGAAAGAGAGGGAAAGAGGGAGAGAGGCAGGCTGAAACTTTGGTGAAAGGAGAGAGAGCCAGACCAGACACGTTTTGGTAGAACAGAGTTTCGACATATCAATTCGTTTCCAAAGGTAAAGAAATTTTAAGGGATTGTAGGTAAGACTTATATCTAGTTATAGATTCGAGTCAATATTCTAAGAGTTATCCCTGTTTTCGTGAGCTCTTCTGTTTCAGACGCGATTTGGACCAGTGTGTGTTCAAAGAGAGATTGTGAGCGAACCCTTGGTCTGATCGTCACGATATTTTGTTGGTAGCTTCAGGACTCGTAGAGAAATGTTTTCAACGGTGGGATTTGAAAGTGGACGGTTATATCTTTCAGACTGACAATTCTGTGATTTTTCTAGAATTTAACAGTTGTTTTTTATTAATGTTTTGATTGTTGTGGTTGGCTACTAGGGTGATTTTGAGATACTGTTGACGTGAGGAAGAAGTCAACTGTGGTTGTGTGGTGTTGTTCTTATTGATGCAGAAAACACTAAATTTGCAGAAATGAACTGATATACTCGATCACAAGGCTCACTGCCAGAAGGGAGGCTGTGATCGAGTAAACCAGTGGTCACAAAGTAAAATTGTTAAAAAAACTTAAACAGCAGGTAACAAGCAGAAGCAATTAAGTAGACAGATAAATCAATTGGATAAGAAACTCCTAAGGATGGGGTAATCGAATAGTGTGGACTCCATAATCAATTCAGATGGTTAACAATTCTCAATGAAGCTATCCCTAGACAACAGGTTCAATAACAGACTTATTCACTCCCGTGCAACGAATCCTCAAGCAAAGCTAGCCCAGACTAATACCCATTAACGGAATCTAACTATGCAGGCAATAATAACCGACTGTTAAAGTCAATAACCGCTCTAAACGGCCAATCCCTTGGGATAGAGACGATTATCACTGGAATTAGTAGATCAAGCATTCCATCGAACACCTTTTGGGTGCGGGAATGCTTTTGATCGAATTCCAGTTGATCAGAAAGGAATAAGCAGTAAACACAACTAATCCAGAAGGGATTCAATAAAACTACACTTAACCATCAGAATCGACTAAGAGTCTGACATCTACTCTATCCCATCCTCAGAAATCCTAGTCACTACTCAGACAACAAGCTCAAAGACACAGAAACGATTGATGATTGCATAACTTTAAAGATTAAAGGAAATGAACAAGGAAATGAAAGCAAAATCTCAATAACTTAGAAGAAACGAAAAATACAAAGTTGCAGAAGCAAAAGCGGCTACTAAAACAATACTAGGTTTCTAAGTCCCCAAACGTGAATGAAAAGTGAATGAAAAAAATGAATGTCTCAGGGGAAACCCTTAGAGACTTATTTATAGCAAAAACGACAAGGATAAGTAAGTGGGCTTCGAGTCCGCTTAACAGGCCCATTGGAACGTGGAGGTCGAGTATATGGGCTCAAAGTGGGCTTCATGGTCGAGCATTAATCGAAGCTGCGATCAAGTGGTTCCTTCTCTCCTCTTCTCTTTCTTATGCTCAGGTTGTCTGGTTGAGTGCGGATTGATCAGAGGGTCGAGGTGGTGATCGAGTAGAATGGTTGATGGCGTGATCAAGTGGTTCCTTCTCTCCTCTTCTCTTCTCTGTGATCGAGTATAACAGTCTGGATGGACTGCTTCTCCTCCTCTGTGATCGAGTATAAGGGTAGTCTGTCAGGATGGACTGCCTTCTCTTCCCTGTGATCGAGTATAAGGGTAGTCTGTTAGGATGGACTGCCCTGTGATCGAGTATAAGGGTAGACTGGATGGCCTGCTGAGCTGACTGCTTCCCTCTCTGCTACTGGTGATCGAGTAGAAGAGTCCTGATGGTCTGCTGAGCTGACTGCTTCCCTCTCTGCTACTGGTGATCGAGTAGAATGGTCCAAATGTGACTTTCAGCTCTGTTTTTCCTTTTTCTGAACACCAATAGCCCTGAAGCACCTGAAACAACTCCAGAATGCAAAATGCATGCAAGACTAATGCTAGACACACTTAAACATGTAAAATGTGCAAAATGATGATGAATGCTATGAAAGATGAATGAAACTAGATTCAAAATGGTGATAAATGGATGTATAAAACATGCAACTTATAGACATATCAAGCGCTTTTGTTTTAAGTCGGTTAGCTCGACTTAGGTCCCTTTTGTTTAATCTTTAGAAGAAGTTGCTCCGGGACGTGGACTTCCTGTAGCTTCCTTGGCTTGCAGCACCTTTGGCTCCTCTGACACTAGCTTCTTCTCCTTATTGTTTCCAAGCAGCTTGGTCTGGAGAAGGACTCGTTTCGTATGATTCACCATTTCTCGGACTTGTTCTGTTTTCCCTTCAAGATCAGGGGGAACAATGATCCTGCCCTTCCAAAGTTTGAATTTTGGAGGCTGTGGCTGGGCCTTAGACTTCTTGTCTTCGTTTGGGTTAGCGAACGCTTTCCCTTTATCAATTTCTTGGTTCGAGAATTGATTCTTCTGCATCGACTTCTCCTTAAGCTTCTGCGAGTATTGAGTCCTCTAATCAATGTGCTTGAAGTTTACTCCTCTGTCTGCATGGTCTAGCACGGCACCAACGGTACCGAGAAAAGGTCTTCCTAGAATTAAAGGTCTCTCTGCCCTTTCATCCATTTTCAAGACATGAAAATCCGTAGGAACAATGCAGTCCCCTACAACGAGTTGTAAGTTTTGAACCATTCCATCGGGAATTTTCAGAGATGAATCTCCAAAGACTAGACTCATGTTGGAATGAGAAAGGTTTCTCAATCCTAGCTTCTCTGCAACACTCCTAGACATAACATTAACATTAGCACCAGAATCACAAAGAGAGTCTGGGAATTCGATGCCTGTTATTGAGCAGGGGAACACAAAACGGCCCGGGTCTTCAGCTTTAGGAAGTCTTCTTAAAAGAGGACGACTGGGCTGATCTTCCGCGACATCATGAGTTCTGCGAACCCCATCTTCGTGAGAGTCAAACAAGGGCAAGATATCCATTGGCTTGCTCTTCACGTTAGGGTTGTTTGCTGTAATAGCGTTGCAGTATCCTTTCAGATTATCTTCGGCTCTTCCTGGTAAAACGCCTTGTTGTCTCCTAACTGCTTATGCGGTTTGGGCGACTTGGACCTCGAGTTTCTTCACGTGACTAGCTATGCCTTCTATCTTCACGTTTAGATCTCGGTGTCCGAAATCAACTTTAGAGTTGATATCCTTAGCGAGTTTATCATGCGAGTTCATTAATTGTTGCAACATCATTTCGATCTTACTTTCTTGAGGTGCCGGCATTATGGCTGGTCCGGCTGGGAAAGGAGGTCTCGTGTTGCTGAACTGGGGTCTCGATTGGAAGTTATTGCCACCAAAATTGGCATTTTGAAAACCTCGGTTTTGAAATGGCTTGTTTACCAGAGGATAAAACTGATCTTGAGGATTCTCCACATTAGGGTTCCTGTAAGAAAGGTTAGAAGCGTTTCTAAAATTATTGTTGAAGCCACCATTGTATCCGCGGTTCTGGTAGAAACCTTGGTTACCGATATAGTTAACTTCCTTTTCTTGACCGTTTGACTGGTCATAATCTTAAAAAGCTTCATTGTTTCCTTGTGTGGTGTTACAAGCGTGCACATCACATTGCTGGTTGCGGAGAAGATTATCCATCATTCTCCTAAGCTCGGCGATTTGCTTGGACTCAGAATTGTTATTAGGACGTGTGGTCCTATCAAAATCAGTAGAGTTATTGTCATTGGAAATGGCAAGGTTCTCTATCAAAGCGCGTCCTTCTTCGACGGTCTTTGTCGTAAAGTCTCCATTGCTGGCCATGTCGAGCGAAAGTTGGTACTTCGAATGTATTCCTCTATAGAAAGTCGTAAGAAGATTACCATCAGGGAAGCCATGGTGAGGACAATCACGTTCGTAGTCCTTAAACCGCTCCCACACGTCAAAGAATGATTTGACATGTCCTTGTTGGAAACT